TATCTTTCTAGGCTGTGCTCAGATACCCTCTCCTCTGATCTTTCCCTTCTCTAGGCACAGAACTATTGTCTCAGCCTTAATGTGTTCAGCTTTTACTAGTGCTCAATGCATTCTACTAAGATTATTAAATTACATTATAATTATACCAAAGTGCAATCAAAGGGTATATTCAGTGAGAAAACTTCACATGTGCTGTCTCACTCTTCTGTTCTTTACTGTAGTTCTTCAAGGCAAGGTGGCTTTTACTAACCACACATTTACACCAAACGCTTTCCTTCCTTCCTTGTAATTGGGTTAGAATTCCTCTGTTAAGCAAATTGGTTTCTAACTTACACAGCTTTCCCATAATAAGACTACAGGGGGAAAGAATGTGTGCCTCCTGTACCTGGAATGGAAATTTAGGAATGTTAAGAGAACCGTAAGCTCAAGAGTCACTTATGCTGGGACAAGTCATCCAGGTGGGGCCTAATACCTAACCGAACTGCAATTTCAACCTCTCCCAGAAATGTAGTCTCAACTGGTCGGTTAGGAAATTTCTGGTCAGCACCAAGGCAGTAATCGTTCAGATGGGCTCTTTTCGCACCCCAAAGGAAGGTGAGGTAATTGGCATGATAAGCCTCCACTGCTCTTCCCCCTAAAGGAAAGTGACCCTCCCTGAAACAATCCTTTGCTTTCTTTTGCTAAAATTTCCTTGCTCCACAGCCCTTTTGTACAGCTCTTTGGAGCTCCTTTCTGATGTGGTTTTGGGATGGTGGGGGTCCAGAGCTGAAGGCCAAGAAAGAATTCTTAAGACATTTTTGGTGCAAAAAAGTGATTTTATTAAAGCATGAGGATAGGACCCACAGGCAGGAAGAGCTACACTGGGGTTGTAAAGGATGACTGATTATATACCTTCATGTTGAGAGGGGGTGTGGGACAGCCTAAGTCTCTAAGGAATTTGGAAGCAAGGTTTCCAAGACCTTGAGGGGCTAGCTGCTGTTAGGAAAAGATCATTTACTACTGTCTAGTAAAATGTTAGTCATGAGACCCTTCAGGTGAATAGCAGTGGGCCATATGCTTGGAAGATGATTCCTAACATATACCTTGGGGGGGTAGAGAAAAAGGAAGTTTCCAAAGGGATTTTTACAGGGTCCTGGAGATCAGGCTAATGTCAAGCTAAGGTTGTCTTTCGCCTCTAGCAAAGTATGTGCCCCAATTTTTCCCCTATATTTCTTTTGCCTTTGTTCTCCACATCAGGATGAGTCATTCAATAAGGTGCTATGACTTTGGGCTTACATACTATTTTTAGCTAAAACAAAGGAAGAACAGTGTGGGGCTGGCAGGTTATGGAAAGATGACCAGGAAAAGTATAGTAAACAAAAGTAAAGTTTGTTATGCAGAGTTAAGTTTGTGCCTTCTCCATTGATAAAAAAATAATAATCTTTATGCCAAAGAGTCATCTTTTAGGGTGGTATATTCTGGTCTCCTATAAGAAAAAATCCTGTTAGCCTAGCTCGAATCTCATGACCATCATTTGGCCCAGTAGAGGAGATTGGGAACCTTGATGGATAACTCCACCAATACTGCATGATAAGGGAGCATGAGGCAAGCTGAGGGAAAAATACAAGCTGGCATATCCCACTCCCCAGATGGAATATGTGTGATATTCCTCAGATGCTCCTGGCTACCCAAGAACAAAGGAAGGAGGTTTAAGTGCTTGCCATGGTGATGTGGGAAAGTAAGGCAAAAGCAAAATTAAATTCCCTTACTGTAAGCAGCCCATTGACAAGTCTTTGAGACCAGCAGAGTGATCTCCCTACCGGAGCTCAGCTGCCTTGATGATGACACTTTGCTTTGGGCAACAGGAACCTTGGCTTAACATTTTCCAAACCTAGGGGAGCCTGGGTGGCTCAGTTGGTTAAGTGTCTGACTTTGGCTTAGGTCATGATCTCGTGGTTTGCAAGTTCAACACTTCAGCTGTGCTGACAGCCTGGACCCTGTTTCAGATTCTGTGTCTCCCTCTCTCTGTCCCTCCCAGGCTCATGCTTTGTCTCTCTCCGTTGCTCTCTCACTCTCAAAAATTACATAAACATTAAAAAATTAAATAAAACAAAACATTATCCCAACCTCCAGGATCCTGTAAGTCTACTTCCTTTATGTCAAGTGCCCCAGGATATATGCTGGCAATCATGCTCCAGGATTATAGCCCCTCTGATATCCATCTGAAGAGTCTCATGACTGAGGTTTTATTAAATGGTAGTAAGTGGTGTTTCCCTAGCAACAGCTAGCCCCTCAAGGTCCTGGAAATCTTGCTTCCAAAATTCCTTACAGACTCTATCCCTGATCCCTTCCAACCTGAGAGTATATAATGAGTTACCCTTCACGACCCCTGTGCAGCTCTTCCTGCCCATGGGTCCTGTCCCCATGCTTTAATAAAATCATCTTTTTGCACCAAAGACATCTTCAAGAATTCTTTCTTGGCCATCAGCTCTGGGCCCCACGAACCCCCCCATCGCCCCAAGACTTCACCACTGCACACAAAAAGGGGAAGAATAGGAAGGGGAACATGAACCCCAATATTTATAGCAGCACTATCAACAATAGCCAATGTATGGAAAGAACCCAAATGCCCATAGATGGATGAATGGATAAAGAAGATGTGGTATATATACACAATGGAGTATTGCTTGGCAATCAAAAAGAATGAAATCTTGCCATTTGCAACTACGTGGATGGAACTGGAGGGTGTTATGCTAAGCAAAATTAGTCAGAGAAAGACAAATATCATATGACTTCACTCATATGAGGACTTTAAGAGACAAAACAGATGAACATAACGGAAGGGAAACAAAAATAATATAAAAACAGGGAGGGGGACAAAACAGAAGAGACTCATAAGTATGGAGAACAAACTGAGGGTTACTGGAGGGGTTGTGGGAGGGGGGATGGGCTAAATGGGTAAAGGGCATCAAGGAATCTACTCCTAAAATTACTGTTTGCAGTATATGCTAAGTAACTTGGATGTAAATTAAAAAAAATAAATTAAAAGAGGGGGAGAAGAATAGGGGCACAGTTGATTGAGCATCTGACTCTTGGTTTTGGCTCAGGTCATGATCCCAGGGTTGTGGGATGAAGCCCTGAGTTGAGCCCTGTGGAGACCTGTGCTGAGTGTGGAGCCTGCTTAGGGCTCTCTCTCTCTCTCCCTCTCCCTCTCCCTCTCCCTCTCCCTCTCCCTCTCCCTCTCTCCACTGTTTGCACACTCTCTCCCTCTAATAAAAGGATAGTTCCTGACAGTAAATGAATATGCAGCTATTCAAATGGGGTTAAAGAAGTGGATGTGGGAAAACCCAAGCAACAACATAAAGCTATTATACTAATTGGGCTTAAATCCATTTTCCTCCTATACTGTTTTGGACCATCATCTTTTTATTTTCTTTTTCTTTTTTTTTTATGTTTACTTATTTTTGAGAAGAGACAGAGCATGAGTCGGGGAGGGGCAGAGAGAGAAGGAGACTCAGAATCCAAAGCAGGCTCCAGGCTCCGAGCTGTCAGCACAGAGCCCAATGCGGGGCTTGAACTCACAAACTGTGAGATCATGACCTAAGCTGAAGTCAGACACTTAACTGACTAAGCTGCTCAGGTGCTCCTATCATCTTTTAACACTTTAACAAGAGGAACTTTCAAAGTTTTTTAAATGGGGTATTTGTGAAAACTTACTGTGGGTGACCAGAAAAGACTATTCTGAAATATGACTATAGGAAACCAAAATATGCCACCACAAAATATTCCACTACATTTTTAAAAGTTTATTTATTTATTTTGAGAGAAAGAGAACACAAGCAGGCTAGAGGTAGAGAGGGAGAGAGAGAATCCCAAGTTGACAGTGAGGAGCCCGATGTGGGGCTCGAACTCACCATCCTGACCTGAGTCGAAATCAAGAGTGGGACTCTTAACAGGATGAACCACCCAGGCACCCCTGCCATTACATTTTGAAGCAGCTTTTATCAACTGAGAAAAACAATCAGTATTCCTCCTCATATGTAGATTGATTATTGATGCAGAATTACTGGTTTAACACTAATCTCTTGTGAGTTTGGTTTATATAGGTCATCATCTCCCCACTGTCTGCTCATCCCCAGGTGCAGTGAAAAATTGCAAACCTGTGGTGCTGCTCTTGGCACAGGATGACCAACCTAGATTCATTGGCTACTCATTGAGGCCAGACCTCTAGGACTAGGAGCACAGCCACCTCGCTGAAAATGTTCATACCTTGGTCTTTTCTCTGATTGTTTCAGGACTGGAGTCTTTCAACAATGCAAGAGGCTAAAGAACACAAGGTGCTTTAGTGTTTAGTATTTCTCCTCCCCATACCTGCCTGAGGCAAAATTATATGAAGTGAAGACTTATCTTTCTCTGAATCTCTCTTCCCCATTTAGCAAACAGAATTCTCGTGGACTCTGCTTACTTGTGTCCTCAACAGTTCATTTTGCAATTCACTTCCTCTTTCCTCCAACAAAATTTAAGTCTTAAGACCCATTCTTGAAGGTTGCATTTTAAAGTCCTGTATTGGACTCTATTTCTCTGCCTAGTGAAAATGGTTATTATCAGGTAAACTCATTTCTGTGATTATCTTCTACTTAATGTATTATTCCTCAAGAAACATAATGCCTTAACCTATCCAAAATGCATGAATTTCCTTAGAGATATGTTTGGTGAATGAGTCCAGTAACACACACCTTAACCTTACACTCAGCACAAATCATATCCAAGCATAATCTGCATCACACACCCTGTAACACCTATACCAGTCACAGAACACATACTCTGCACATATAGCATGTATAAATTTCGTACACATTGGAATGATATAATTTATTTAAGGAAGGGAAGATCATTTAGCTCGGGGAGGTGCAAGGAGAGTCATTATCAGGAAAATCCCTGGTTCAGTAAAAAAGAAAAGCCATAAGAGGTAAATCTTAAAAAAAAAAAAATGTAAGAGCAAATCAGGTAAATGAGGGCAGAAAGGTATTCAGGGTAGAGAAACAATGCAGGCAGTTTTAATATCAAGAAACCTTGTGGTACATAACTCCAGTCGTGAGAAAACATTGGCACATACACGCAAAGGAAGGAGTAGCCAGCGCTGTTGATGTAGGCGTCAGGCTACCACTTGGGAAGTAATGGGCACTCTACTAAAACCTGGGGGTGTGGGTAGACTTTCTAATTTTTGATGTCTAACAATTGGATGTCCTCTATGCTGTCCACATACCCATTCGTGCCACAGTGGAATTCAATGTAGCTGTAGCTGCTATGTTCTCTGTAGCTCTTTTTGTTACTCTCCTGGTAGCACTGGAGGATTTTGAAGGGATGCTGGGCCCATATATATACATTTCTGTAACGATCTCTCCACTTCCTGAGGCATATATGCTCGATTTTGTGCCACAAGGTATAGATGAAGGTATGATAGTTCCTGTCTTTTGGAGCTCCTCTTTCCCTCATGAGATCATCGCATTTGTAGTCGCTGAATTTCCAGCTTGTGCTCAGGTAGTGCTGCTTCATGAATTCCCTCCAGGAAAGGTTCTGGCTGTGTATAAGCAGCCCACATAGGGGAAACAGCAGGGCCAAGATAGGGCCAAGGACCTTTAGAGAGGATGCCATCTCAGTCACCAGGGCCACCTGTGAGTCCACAGCAGGGAGAGAGGAAAGCATTATTTCAGCTGCCCTAAGAGCTGACCTCCAACTTAAAATTCCTTCCCTGCCAGTGTAGGCACTTGGGCCCAATTTTATCATTTTGTTCCCAGGCTTGAAGGTGATGAATCTCGTTAGATAATAAAGTTTATGAGAACTGAAATTATGCTAGAGCCTGAGTGAGACAAAACACAAAATTGTAAAAAATAGGTGGAGTTTATTTTGAGGATTTCAAATACCTCCTGTCTGCCCTCTCTTCCACTCCAACCAATCACCCTCTAGCTAATTCTGTCTTACGGTGCGGATCAGTTCTCAGAAGAGCGTGAGTCTGAAAAAAAAATGGCATTTTAAGCTGTATGGCTGTGAAGTGGAAAGGATTGCCACCTTTTAAGGGAATGCAGAAGATGAGTGAAGACTTGGGTGATATTTTCCAAGCAAGAAGGCTTTGGTTCCCTCAGACCCCAGGCTACAGTTACACTGATTCTGCAAGATGGTGTTTATCTAATCCTGCCTTCCTTATAACACTTCCCCAAAGCCTGTTATCACTTCTGACTACCCACATACCTTCTCAGAGGCCGTTTACCTAGTTATCATAGTTATAAACAGTCTTGATCTATTGTTAAGAATGCCATCATATAGGAGCTCCAGTTCTGAAATACCATTTTAATCAATCCTGTACTAAGATTGAAACTACCCTCACAGGAGCTACCCTGGCCAAAATTAAGGCATAGAGGTGTGTGAAAAAGTTTCCCCTTTAAACCAGCTCTCTGTCCTCATTTACCATGGGGAGTGGAGCTGGCCCTATGGAATCTCTAACCTGATTCTCAACTCTCTGAGCACTTGTGTCCTCAAATCTGCCTAATAATAGCTGCCTCACAGACTTGTGAGGGACTCTAACAAGATATGCATGTGAGAGCCCTTCTGAGAATGTTGTAGGAACACAGGGTAGGCCACCCTAAAAGGTGTCACAATAGTATATTCATTGTTTTGAATTGAAGCTACTTGGAAAACAGCCAGTACAAGGACACTCAGACCCTCCTCTGTCCCCCTAAAAGCAGAAAATGAATCTCATATGAAAGGTACCCTCCTTATACTAAGAAATAAAAAGATATTCTTATCACCAAAGATAGAGATTTTACTTGCTTAAAATTATTTTTAAAGTAGGTTCTATGCCCAATGTGGGACTCGAACTTTTAACCCTGAGATCAAGAGTTGCATGCTCCACTAACTGAGCCAGCCAGGCACCCCACCAGAGATTGGAATTTTAAAGCCAAGTAAGCTGAATAAACAAACTTTATTCCTTTTTACAAATCTACTATTTCAGCCCAGATTCTGCTTAGAATTCCTTACTAATTGGAACTCCCAAACATTTGTTTTCTCTCTCCTGTCAATTCCTCACAAATGTATTGTCTCACTATTTAAAATGTATAAAAGCTGCCTGCCTCAGTCATTTACTTGGGGTCTCCATTTCATTACTGGGCCTCCATGTGCACATAATAAAACTTTGGTGTTTTTCCCTCCTGTTAAATCTTATTTCATTTTAATTCTTAAACCAGTTGGAAGTATCTTGAAGGATGGAAGGAAATTTTTTTCCTCCCCTATTGTGTAAAGTGCTACATCGAGCATAGAAGACAGAACAGGCACTTGCTCATTTCTGGCACCCTATACCTGGCCAAAGGTCCTAACCAGGATAAAAGATCAGGATTCAAGTTGCTTCAAAATATTATGCTTGGAAAGATTGGAGGGGTTGACAGGACAGACTGTATCAGCGGGATTACTCCTGAGTTGAATTCATGTCTTTGCTTCTTACAAACTGGATCACTTTCCAATCTTAACTGTACCGTCTAGAAGTTCAGTCAGGCCCCTTCCAGTGTTTCTGGGCCTTTCCCCTCAAGCATCCTCAGCACCAACCCTAAATCTAACTCACCCTGTTCAGATCCAACACTCACGTGTCACTGGTGGTGGAAATCAGTATGTGGATCTGAAGAGCAGAGAGCCAAGAAGTCTGTGGCAGTGAAGAGAGGAATAGCAGTGAGAGGTACAGCACTCCACTGATTAATAGTGGGGGTGGGGAGACAGGGAACAGACTTACTAAGTGAACCTGTTCCTGTACCTTCTCATCTAGAACACTTGGGTTCACTCTGAGAATAGCCTAGAGCAAAGGTGTCCAACATCAAAGACTCACTTGAGGGCACAAAGGAATGGCAAGGGTCTGGGGAGAGGTAATACTGAAGAGGGGTTGTCTGGAGTTATCAGGAGACAATCAGAGATTTATCTCCTAAATTCACATCCCAAAAAACCTCTGGGGAAAATTCCCCGGATGACTAGGCTATGGTCTATGGGAACATCAGTGAAAAACAAAACAAAACACCTCTGGAGTTGTGAACTGTGGAATCTTCATTGAGAGATAAAGAGGGTATGTAGTCCAAGGTGCAATTTATGGATAAAGTGAGATCCTTGAATGTGCTTTCCATTAATGAATTTTTTAAACCTTTTTTAACGTTTATTTGTTTTTGAGAGAGGGAGAGAGAGAGAGAGAGAGAGAGGGGGAACACGAGCAGGGGAGGGGCAGAGAGAGAAGGAGACACGGAATCCAAAGCAGGCTCCAGGCTCTGAGCTGTCAGCACAGAGCCTGACATGGGTCTCAAACTTGCAAACCATGAGATCATGACCCGAGCCAAAGTTGGATGCTTAACCGACTGAACCACCCAGGCGTCCCTATCAATGCATTTCTTTGAGGGCTACTCCCAGCTAAGCCACCTTGGTTGAGTTTCTCACTGGGCCACTTTATCATCAAATTGTCATGAAGGGTAGCAAAGCATGCCACTCCAAATTATACCTCTTTGGCATAAGGATTATTTAAGCTGGTTATTTTTAAGAAGCCACAAGCCCAGGAGAAGCTCTGAAACCCGGGAGTGGAAGTTACCCTTTTCTAAGGGACATTTAGGAAATCTCCATTTGTGAGAGTATCTCACTCTTAGTATCAGGAAGAGAAGGCTGACTCTAAATCACAAGAAACTCTTACCAATGTAGAAGGCACAGACTTAAATATACACAACAAACCTTAACTTTGTTTGCTGCGCTTTTCCTCATAACCTCCCTTAACTGGCCTCCCCACTCCCACTGCAATATCTTTCTTTTGTCCTTTTTTTTTTTTTTTTAACATTTATTCACTTTGAAAGACAGAGAGAGAGCGAGAGAGAGGGCACTAGAGGTGCAGAAAGAGAGGGAGACACAGAATCCAAAGCAGTCTCTGAGCTGTCAGCACAGAGCCCGACACAGGGCTCAAACTCACAGACTGCAAGATCATGACCTGAGCTGAAGTCAGACGCTTAACCGCTTAACCGACTGAGCCACTCAGCACCCATTTCCTTTGTCTTTAGCTGAAGATGGTATTTAAGGTGGTGGCTTGAGTCATTTTGGGAAGTTTTACTCAGTTTTTCTGACTATCCACAATATATACAAGAGATACACATGTTGTTGAATTTCTGTATGTTTTTCTTTTGTTAATCTGTTTTTATTACAGAGGTAATAAAAGAACCTAGACAGTGTCAACCAAAAATTGTAAGGAGGCAATGATTAAGCAAAAGCATTTATTTGAGATCCAGAATTGTAATTTGGGGTGCTCTGATCACACAACCCAAATAGTGTCCCACAAGAGAGCAAAAGTCAGGGATTTTAGAGACAAAAGGGGAATGCTGTTATACATTGTTTACAAAGAATTTTGATTGGTGTTGTTGAAAGAAAACTAATATTGGCTAAACATAATTGGTTGCTAAAGCTATCACTATGCAAAGGTCCAACTGATACTGTAGCAAGTTGCAGGTGTTCTGCAGAGTCGTTAGAGTATTTATGAGTTGACTCAGTTCAAAAGTTCATGACTCCACCAAATGAGGACATACATAAAGGCCACCTCCTTAATGGTCTCCCTGCTCCATTTTACCCACCCCCTTGACCTAAGTGACTATTTATTTTTGTTTTCAAGTAAACTCTACTCCCAATATGAGGCTCAAACTCCTGACCCTAACATCAAGAGTCACAATATGTACCAACTGAGCCAGCTAGTCACCCCATAAGTGACTTTATTTTATTTCACTGCTCACAGAGAGTAAAGGGAAATTTTTTGTTGTTGTTGTTTTATAGTCATCACGTTCAGTTCATACCCAGAGCTTATCTTCAAAGCACATTAGTAGCAATGCCATCCTGGTATATAGTGTTCTGATCTTCTCTTTGAATGGGAGCTATGTCATTAGGATTAGGTAGAGAAGTATTGGCACTTATAGAAACACATTTGGATTTACAGAAACTCTGGTGCACCTCAAAGCCCAGCTCATGTCAAGTTTCCCTTGAATAATTGGTAATCGTGTGCTGAGAGACTGAATGGGAGTTGTCTCAGGGCGTACTGCAAATCCAATTACTCTCTAGTATTTTTGGGTGAAGAGGGAGAGTAAAAAGGCAGGAATTTGGGGCACCTGGGTTTGGAGGATTTGAAAGATGACTCTGAGAAGAATTAAGGTGGCCATCATGTGGCCACATATCAACAGCCCTTTCTAACAAGTTCCTGTGATCTGCTGAATCAGGTAGTGACTTAATGAACACAGAGAGAGGCAGTGGGGAGAAACTTTGAGGACTATTGTGTGAAGGTGCAAGCTCAGAAAGAGATCCATGGGTTTCCAATACCGTATATTTTACAGTACATTCTAGGACATGAGTGAGTAATTCTGAGAATTACAGGAAGCAATGCATGGAAAAGTAGCTTTTTAAAATTTTTTTAAAAGTTTTTTTTAAATGTTTATTTATTTTTCAGACAGAGAGAAACAGAGCATAAACGGGGGGAGGGTCAGAGAGAGGGAGACACAGAATCTGAAACAGGCTCCAGGCTCTGAGCAGTCAGCACAGAGCCTGACGTGGGGCTCGAACTCGTGACCACAAGATCATGACCTGAGCCAAAGCCGGACGCCTAACCGACTGAGCCACCCAGG